GGCCCCCCCCCCCCTCCCCCCCCCCCCCCCCCCCGGCTCTGCGGCCTCTATCAGGGCAGGGGAGAGGGGAGGCAGGACTGTGAAGCAGCCTCTGCCTGCAATGAATCCCTGTGTGGGGGGCGAGGAGGAAGGGTCCCAGCTTCCCTCTGGGGCACCCCCCCCGTGGACAGGGGCTGCTGGACCTGGCATGAGCTGGGACTGGGCAAGCCTGGCTCAGTCCTGGCTTGTACTGGGTCCAGGAGCTATTCACACTGTACATTTAAACTGCAGAGCCACGGCATGGGAAGCTCCCGGACGTGGCACGAACCAGAACTGAGCACCTTCCCTTATCAACTAATTGTGTAGTCAATAAAAACTCAATTGAGTACATGATTAGTGAATTATCGGGTTCTTAACATCCCTATTCTGGACATTACAAAGCATTTAATTACAATGATGATTGCTGTAGAACTCTCTAAGTGTGTCTGTAGTCTTTGGACCAAAAGTCTTTACATATTAATCTTCTAAACAAAGAACTGAAATATGTATACTTGAAACCTTAATGGTTAGCTAATTGTTTGATTTTCAGAATTTCACACTGATTTTTTAAATGTACTGCTGTGAATGATCACGGTTTAGTTTTTATAATTTTTTTAAAAATGACAGTTGATAAGTGATTAAAATATTCTAAGGACATCTTGAAGGACATATACAGAAATTGTTTAGGAATAGAATACACAAGCAAGAATAAATGCAATGTAATAAGATTTTAGGTGATCTTGAGTTCTCTTTTTTTAAAGTGTTTTTTTTATTTCTTTTTCTAGGTTAGGTGCCATGAAGGGAAAAAGTTTTAAAATAATTTACTTCAAAGAAGTTTTATATGTATATACTGTATGATACAAATTATTTTTGATGAGAATACTAGTTTAAATTTGACTTTTTATATAAGAAGCTTATTGTATCTTTTTATTTATACATGCTATTTACAATAGTAAAGGTTGTCATGATACACAGGGCATTTTCATCATAACATAATTTTCTTTATTAAAATATTTTTGTAATGTTGTAATGCTTTCCCAATTTTTATACAATAAATATAGACCAAACAGGGGCATAGCAATAAGTGGGTCTGTTAGCATTAGCATTCAGACCCAGTCCTGGCTCTTTTGCATCCCCAGGACTTGCCCCACTCTGCCTGCTAGTGAATGGGATCAGGGCAAGTCTCCGCTCCCCAGGTGGAACACTGGGTGGCTGGGAGTGGGGCAAGCTGCTGTGCCTGGACCCCACCTGGAAGGATTTGAGACTAGGATCAGGTTTGGTTAACTGTGACAGAACTGAGAAAAATTGCTCTCTATGATCATGATGCCTATTAGCCTACTTTCCCTTTTTTGAAGTACAAGACATTTTTTTGGCAGGTTTAGTGAAGACCAATTTATGTTTAAGGCTTTAAGAGGAAGGGGTCTCATCAAAATTGGCTTTTGCTTTAGAAGGGAGTGTCAGGAAGAGACATGCGGAAGTGCCAGGTGTGAAAATCAATGTGGTGCTTTACATTTGTATATGGCAGTTGTGAATCTTCTATAAAGACAGGAAAATCCCTTTCTTTTCCCATTATAGGAATTTTCCTTAGATTGCCAGGGCCCAGAGAACAGACAGGAGGAGTGAGACAGGGCTGAGAATGGTAAAAGGTGATGTCACAAGCATTCCATGTTAGAGGGAGTGAACTGAAAATGGTCAAGCTCAGTGCTGGCCCTTGAGGAGGATGAGGAAAGCTAATAGCGGGGCCTCTGCTTGCAGCAGGCCCATGGCTCTCTGTGGGGAGAAGACTACTTCCACAGTTAAAGGGTGAAAAAATGGAGAAATTCATTTCACACAAACTTGAATGTGGAATTAGTTGTCTTTCACGATATGTGTTTTAATTCCCAAAACTTCAGATAGAAAAGGTGGGATATGTAAATTACAGTCCTTTCCACAGGAGAGCATTACAAGTTAAAACCCAACCAACATGTTTGAAACATGCAGAGTTTGGAGTGGGAGGATGTCACCTTAACTCTTAGTCATCTTTAAGAACAGCAAAAGACATTTTAGGCCAGGATTGGCAATAATTTCTAAAAGGGGGCCACATCACCAATTTCTGAAGTGGCTGTGGACCACCCAAAAAGGGTTAGGGCCTCAGGTGGGGCTGAGGGGAGTGCATGAAGTCTTTTCCCACCCCCTGAAACTGTTCACAACAGCTGACAGTTCCCTCTAGGCCCCCTTGCAGGGCAGGAGGAGACTTCATGAGCTCCCCCCAACTCCAGGCCAATCAGGACCTGGGGGCAGGAGGAGGGAGCACACAATCACTTTTTTCCTGTCCCTGCCTTGCTAGGGGCACATGGTGACTAAAGAGAATCACGAAGTGTAAAACAGTGGCCAGTTGTCTCTGATGCAGCACACTTCTGGCAGGGGGAAGAGATTTGGCATGCTCCCCTGCCCCCAGGTCTCAATTGGCCTGGGAGTGGAAGGACAGCCAAGGACTGGATTCAACCTGTGCAGGCCCCTTTTCCCACCTGTTTTAGGTATATACTGATTGGCTGTGTCTACACTGCACCCCTTTTCCGGAAAAGAGATGCAGATGAGACAAGTCGGAATTGCAAATACAGTGGGGATTTGCATTTTCCCCGCTGCATTTGCATGATGAACATGGCTGCCGCTTTTTT